TAACTAATCTCGGCACACAACAATATTTTTCATTTGTATTGGTATTGCCAGTTGCGATCGATCGATTACGTGTGTACGGTAATTTTATATAATTGTGTTTATTATCTTATGTATTTACTAACCTCGGTACACAACAGTATTTTTCATTTGTATCGGTATTGTCAGTAGTGCCGGCTCTAGGAAAGAACAAATGGGATAATTGTCCAGGGCCCCATGCTTGTTAAAGTGCCCCTGTAATTTTAAATTATCATCTTAATACCGTGAGATACATTGACATTTTATATCCTAAAGGCTAATGTCTAGGGCCCCGCAATACCTAGCGCCGGCTCTAATTGCTAGTTGCTACTTAAAAAATTTTAATACATACATACATTTTAAAAATTCTTTTTTTAAAATTTTTTTTTTTTTCTTAAACCTTGGTAACTCGAAAACCGTAGTAATTCAAAACCTCAATAAGTCAAAATAAATTGCATTTCCCTTAAATTTCGACTTATCGAGGTCCCCCTGTATTTTATTTACAAGATCAAACTTGATTAATTAGAAATAAGTGGTAATTTAATTAATTTTATAAGATATGGAATTTTACAAATGCAAACTTTAATTTATTTTCTTATCGAATACAATATACGTACGTTACATCACCCCGACCTCACCTATATATTTGGAATTTTTGAAAATTCTCATCAATATTTTGTATAAAATTTGTACGACCATTTTTCGAATTTTTTCGACCTTGGTTTTCCCATTATCGAACAAAAATAATGGGGTTCTGAAGTGATGTGGTTTCAATCTCACCCTAGTGAAATTTTAATATTTCGATTTAAAAAAAATATATATATTAAACTAAAATGTTAAGGTCCACTATTTTAATAAAAAATTTCAATGATTTCTTCAGTATTTGATTGAAAATAGATACTAGAAATAGGCATTTTTTAACTTAACGCATTTACCGCCGAAGGACTATCGTACAAATTTTAAAAACTGTAATACAAACTCATACATAATTTATATGAATACATAATAAGTAAAGAGATGTTTGGGGAAAACTGGTTTTAGAAGCAAAGAGCCTAAATGGCTCGTAAAAGCTAAATAAAAAAAATAAAAATATAATATATAAATATTAATACATAATACATAATATGTATGAATTTGTATTGCAGTTTTTAAAATTTGTATGATAGCCCTTCGGCGGTAAATGTTTTAAGTTAAAAAATGCCTATGCCTAGTATCTATTTCCAATCAAATACAGAAGAAATCATTAACGTTTTTTTTTTTTTTTTTAATAGTGTACCTAAATATTTTTTAGTTTAATTTATACATTTTTTTATATTGTATTTTTTTTTTAAATCGAAAGTGTTAAAATTTCACTAGGATGAGTTTGAATATACAAATTTAAATAATGATCTCCCTATAGCTACTGCATTCTAACTATACAAAATTTCCTGTCAAAACTGAAAACAACATTGATGATCGAAGCATTCAACCGAAAAGAATATCTAGAAAATAAAAATAAATTTTAAATTTTAAAAAACGCATTCCACGGTAAAACATATTCTTTGAATCACTCGAAGTCAAAAATAGTAAAATACTGGTAAAATCTTTAGATCTTAATTGACTTTACTATTACTTGATTCATTTTGACTTCATTGCAAAATATTCTATGCATATTGCCTTACGTACAAGACCTTTTTCTGAGCCAAAAGGTCGATTTTATTATTTTATTTTAATCATCGGTAATAACAGAAATTCTGTATTCAATTTATCCATTTTTATTTCTTGTGCCTATATAAGACATTCAGATTTCATTGAAAAAAAATGGTACAAAAAGAAAGACCGTTACTCTTACGTTCATCATTGTGATTCGCTCTTCATTTGTCACGAGACGCATCGGCGGCAGTGGCTCGCGTGGGTTGATTTACTCGATTTCTAATCGTTTCGCCGTTTTCAAATTATTATGCATTTTATTGATGTATTTGGGCATTTTATTATAATTTTGTCGCAAGACACGAAATCAACGTTAATAAAAATAAATAAAAACAAGATGCGATAACGGTAAGTAAATAATATTTTGTCACTTTAAAGAAAGTGTTTTTTATTTTTTTCCCTCTCTGAAAAGTACATTATTTATTTGAAAAATGTACAACGGCATCTAAACAATTATGCACGAATCGGGAGAACATAGTATGTCAACATGAATTTGATTCGTTTGACGGAAAATCCATTAGCGACACTTTACTTTAAAGCTCGAGCATGATTATAATTTATTTGGCCACACTAGCAAGTTACTCATCCGTCGAAATGACTCGGGTGGCATCACCTTTTAGAACGGTTCAGGAAAACATATCGCTTACGATCAGTACATAAAAACATTTCATGTCGTGTAAATCAGTGGCAACCCTTGAAACTGCAAACTCTGTCCAAAATGGAATAAAAGTGGAATGTTTTGTTTTTAACAAATTATAAGACATTGATTTTCGTACTGAAAAAATATCTTTGAATTTATATTTATATTAAATTTCGATTTGACATGATGCGTACCAATTACAAAAAATTCAACAAAATATAATAAAATTCATTTTCGTTATAATTAACCTCCCTCCATTTCACATTAGCGTTTATCAGACAGTGACTACCACCTTTCTATATTATGTCTACCTTTTTCCCAGATTTCCTAATTTTTTTAATAATGTTTATAAAATTAACATCTTCAAGAGTCAAAATAAAAATAAAATGCATGTTAAACAGTATTGTACCATACATTGTATTATATGCGGAAAGAGGGAGTGTTAGACGGATTGCACACATACAGGTGCATTCAATAAGAGAATTTCAGGGGTTCAACCATCCCTAGAATATTTTTTTGTGTATGCACCTGTACACAAATATTAATAACAATTCAATGAAATCAATAAAGTATTTGACTTTTGAACCCAAGATTTTTATCTTATTCCTAAAATTACTTATTTGTTTTAATCATTATTTTTATAGGATACGGGATTAAAAATAATGGAAATACTGCTAGAACATTCTTTAGAAATGTAGAAAAATCGGTAGAGATCACAGGAGTTGATGTAAAACTGATTGAACGTTTTAAAAATATTCTAATGGTTAAGTGTAATAGTTAAGTCTAATAGCTAAGTGGCTAGGATTTTAATATAGATGCTTTTGATGAGTATGGAGAAAAAACAGCAAAACATTTTGTTTCCCCTCATTTTATATACCATCAAGTGTGCATAAAATATTAATTCATGGTACTAATAATAATATTATTATAATAATATTATTCGCTCTGATATTTTACCGACAGGTAAGTATTTCTATTTTTTTAAATTTAAATTTTTTTTCAGAATAATTAAGCAAATTTAACATTTATAATTTTAGGACAATAATAAGAGGAGGCCCAAGAATCTCGAAGTAAAGATTATATAATGTACAGACAACACCACACAAGAAAAACTCAAGAATAAATATCAACGAAGACCTCTTACATTTGTTATTAATAGCATTTGACCCGTTAATATCTACCATAAGATTACTTCCAAAAAAAAATTACAAGACTTATCAAATGAAGCTAAATCGCTATTGAATATAACATTGTATGAATTAAATTTTAACAGCGATTAATGTCAAAATATATATATATATAAATTAAAAAAAAAAAAACATTCTCTATTTCCCATAATTAGGGATAAATTACAAAATAGAAATAGTATAGTATTTGGATTCAGCAACCTAAAACATGTCAATTAGTTGATTTACAATATGCAAATTATATGAAAATTTAGAAACAGGTTTTTTTTTTACCCCTAATTAAGGGTTGACTTCAATACTGATTTGAACTGAAACAAATTTGGATTTAGCATGTCAAAGACTAATAAAATTGATAATTTTCAAATTTTTTTAATTCATATTTAAAAGGTATTAATTAATGCAAGCTAGAACAAAAACCACTGTGCGCCACCGTGATAACCGGCTTTTATTTCGATTCAAATTTTGTTTAATTGCCATCACAAATGTAGTAGCGACATCACGTGAAAATAATTTAACTCGTATCAAATTTGTTGAGAGAATTTTTTCGATCTACAAAACACTATTGTGGGATGATCGCCTTTCATTTTTGTTCGAAAATATTAAGAAAATCTTAATTATAAAGTGTAACAATTTTGAAAGTTAAACAAAAATAATAAAAATGATTAGGTACGTAAAGATGTTCATTTTAATTAAATTCGTATGTTTTTGTTACAGAGTAGATTAAAAATAAGAAATTCGATAAAAAACGAAATTTTATGAAAAGTAGTATATATTAACATTTTTTTAACTATGAAAACTAGCCATAAAAAAAATTAATTTGAGTAAATTATATATAGTTTTATTTAATTAATTTATAAATTATAATTCATATCAAAACAATATTCATCAAATTTTTATAGTAAAATATACACTTTTTTAACATTTTTATGTAATTTTTTATGCATTTTTTTTCATGCATTTTTTACATATTTTTAGATCATCAAGTTTCGGGCCCTAATTATAACAAATTCAACTGTAAAATTCAAATTGGAATATGCGGCAGAATGCATACATTAATTAAATATATTTAATTGTTACATTTCCTTTTTGAAGACTGACATGATTTTAAAACATGATTTTTTAATTTTATTTCTATATCATTAATTTATTTTTTTATACTTATTTAGTTTTTTATTAAATAATAAATTTATTTTTATAATTTGAATTATTTATAACATTTTAAATATTTAATAATTAAAATAAACAACGGAATTTTTAAATATTTTGGCTTTAATCAAAGTCTGTCAAATCAATAAATATATTACTATCATAAAATAAACAATAAAAACAGTTTCATATAATTCAAAGGAAAATTCGTCATAATCAACAAAGTTAACAAATTGATTGTAAGTAGTAGATCTTACTTATTTTATCTGCTCAAACACGGGCATTTAATTTTTTCGCCTTGCTATCAGATTCAACAATCAACCATGTTCCGGTCTTTATTTAAAAAAAATTTGCCTTCGATCATGCGATTCAGATCATTGAAAAATTGCCAAGATCATCGAATGATGAGCAGCATGGCATTAAGAAGACCATACCCAATGTCGGAATGGCAAAAGCGCCACTTTGAACAACCGAGTTTCGGGTGAGATTTTTTCTTACGATACAGCAAGGTTGTTTCATTTCGATACTATGTACTCGTATTATTCGGAATCGAAAAATAAGTTTTCGCATACACCCCGAACGGTTTCGTCGCGTAAATAATTTTTCACATGAACTATTTCTTCCCATATAGCCACCGCGTGACCTGTTCCCGCGGAATATTGACGGACGCCAGTATAGTGATTCCCGTGCTCAAAGGGATCGGAGCCTTAACAGGATGGGTGATACGGAAATGGTGGTCCAGGCAGAACGACAACAAGAAGCGCCAGTACCGGGAGAAGGCGGAAAACAATAAAAAGACCCTGTTTAGTGGCATGGCGCTCACGGCGTGTCTGTGCTCCGCGGTAATATTGCACAACGTCGAACGGGACCCGATCACGGGCCAGCTGATCTTGTGCCTATACAATGACAGCACGATAGCCGAAATTAGCAAAAGGAATTGGCTATACTTGATGACCATTACCGGGAGGGATCTGAGGAACCACGACGGGAACAAGTACAACCGCGTACAACTCATAACTAGGCAGCTGTTGGAGGCAAACTCACAGTTTACCGCGATCCGGGACATTCGTTGGTCGCTCTACACGGAGGATAACGACGAACCGAACGCGTTCGCATTGCCTTTTGGGTTGGTGTACATTAGCAGCAGCTTGATGGATATGACTAACGACGATCAACTGGGTATCATCATCGGCCACGAGATTTCCCATATCATGCTGCGCCACACCAACCGTCAGTGGAGCCAGGATATGTTGTTGGACATCTTCCAGATAGTGGCCAACGTGGTCGCCTGGACGCTGCTGCCTGCATTTTCCGCGTTTACTTTATTCATGTTGGGTGGAGCCACGATGAAGTTGTTATGTTTCCAAATGCCACTCTCGAGGCGCATGGAGAAAGAGGCTGACGAAATCGGATTCATGATGGCCGCGCGAGCCTGCGTGGACATCACGCAAGGCCCAAAGCTGTGGACTTCCTGGGCCGACGCTAATGAACGGTCGTTTCCCCATAGCCGCACCTTTTGGTGGCTACATACTCACCCGACACACCGAAGCCGAGCGGAACACCTGAACCAACTAATGAATGAGGCTCGAAAACTGCAGAAATTAGCCAATTGCCACGCCACGTTTCTTAACACCATTGATAGTAAATACTGTAGATTGCACACTGGTCGGTTTTTCGATGATGTGAAAATGAAATTCCCATAGAGAGCGGTACGAAACTAATAATAATAAAAATTTTGCCGTTGTACCGTTGTTATGACAAGGTACGGCCGCGCGGCGTAGATTATCTTTTGGTGGCCTATCACTGATGGCTTCGTGTGAAGGAGTCCTAAGTCTCTTCAGAAAGACTTTCCTATATCTTTAATTTTATTCTCTAATATCCCATAATATCAATTATATATTTTTTTAAGTGTAGTTATTTTCTAGAATAATATTAGAGCACTCTTTTAAGTTTTATTTCGGAGATGTAGTTTTTCATTTTTATATCTAGTTTTGAAATATGTTTTATCAATGTAAAAATGATTTCATCTACCATTTGAATTTAAAGGTCACTTTAATTCTATTTACTCAGTATTTACTATTATTTAATTGTTTAAAACCTAAGCGAATTAATTAGAACAATAATATTAAATTGGTATATTATACAGATTGCTATTATTTGTCTATTATTTTTTATGTATGATAAAATACATATTCATTAGATCATTAAACAAATTCCTCATGTTAATAATTTATTTTTAATAATAATAATAATATTGTTGATTATTTATATGAGGTATTTGTTTCATGATTTAATAAATATGTATTTTATTAATTTATAATACACAAGAACTAATAGACAGCAATCAGTATAATATAGTAATTTAATATGTACATCGGGTAGTAGTGGGTAGTAGTCGAGACACTACGTAGTACACCAGTGACCACTGACCAGTACACGTAAAACGTAATATTTTTAGTGTTGCGCGTACTTCGTATATTTCGTGTATTTTACGGTGTACTACAGCATGTCTGTATTGCATTGACATTGCTGTGTAATAATAGCGACAATAAAAAATTATTACATTAATAATTAATAATAATTATTACGTATCTCCACACGCTCCACCACAACACTGCCGTTGCCCCAACGCTCCGTCACTCGAGCGACCTCCATGATCCGTTCGTGACTCTACCACGGACCCGAAGCTCGTCATCGACGTCACTTTTTTATTGCGCTACTTCCGAAAAATTCGTCGCAAGACCTTCGGCGACCGACAATCGATCGCGCATTGACCCGACACTCATGAATTTATATGACCCTTTTACGAAATTTGTATAACCACGGTTTATGAAATATTTCATTTTTTATATATGTGCGATTGGCGTTATGGTATTTCAACCCCGCCCACAAGGAATTTGATAACATTCGTATATCCAATTATTTCAATTTTTAACATTCAATTAGTATGAATTTGAACGACCATCTCCGAAGTCCGATTTTTAATTCTTTCTTCGACAATTCACTTTTTACGAATACAACGTCACTCCAGTCCCGCCCGCACATAAATTTTTTAAATATCTGCAATTCTTCTAATACCAATATATTCAGTATCCAATTAGTATGAAGAGTTAAAGAAATTATTTTTCGAGCAATTGGGTTGCTTGTTTAATGCCAATCTCTTGAAAATATCCATTATTTATTTATTTTATTAAAGAACAGGCCGTGGCCATGTCATATTTTCGAAAAAGGGATTAGAGGTTGGACTTCGGGGATGATTGTACAAATTTATACTAATTGGGTGTTAAATATTGGCATAATTGAATGTACAAATGTTATCGAATTCCTTTTGGGCGAGACTGAAATGATATTACGCTAACCCCGCCCACATAAAAATTAAAATATTTCACAAATCAAGGTTATACAAATTTAGCAAAGGGTTATACAAAAAAGGTTACCTTAACCGATAATTTTTGGTTCAGTTTCATAATTTGTTTTTGAACTTTATTTGTGATAAACGTTAAATCAAGCTATGATCAACAAACGGCTTTAGATTGTGTCGCGTCCTGCGTAGTCACATAATAAAACACATCACAAGGAGGTTCCCATGAACATCAAAAACCACAACTGGGGGTAAGTTAGATTATTGTGTTCACGTGGTTATTACACTAGAGATTACAATAAGGAATTAGAATATCAAAATCACAAGCGTGGACAAGTGAAAGGGTTCACATAAACGGTTTTATGGGAAATTGAAATAAAATAGTTAATCGAAATAGTAGTGAGCACATCCTGGGCATTGCGTCAATAATTATGTCACGGTCCAGAGATAACGCGCACACACTCAAAATCCATAGGAAATTATCTTATTTTATTATCGTTTTCATTTACACACACATACACTTGAGATTTACACACACGCATACATATATCAGATATAAAAGGGACCTGAAAACAAGGACAAATCAGACGAGTTTTGACTATGCTGTGCTGAGTACCTTCACGTCAGTTTATGTCATGGTCCGGACATAGAAATATTTCACACTATTTTTATAAGTCATAATTGTTAGGACTTTAATTTCTACAAACTCAAATTGTTTGGACTTAGAATATTTACGAAATTTTAGTTAGAATAATTTTATGAGTTTAAATAAATTAAATTATTTTAAAAAGTCTTGATTATTCTTCACTACACCTACAACCAAGCGTTGACTGAGACGTTGACACTGAAATCACGGATCGAACGGTTGGCACGTAACAATTTTAACGTTATAAACTAAATAGTTCACCGAACATTTTAATAGAAAAACGTTAAAATTGTTAATGTTTTTTGAAATGTTCACCAAAAAAACATAAAAATATTTAAAATTCTTGAATGATAGACCTAATAAACGTTGTTAAGTTATTCGTTCTTGTAAATTTAATAGAAGAATGTTTTGAAATAATACGTTCTTGAACATTTGATCAGAAGAACGTTTTACAGTCATATGTTTTCGAATGCTTTAAAGTTATACGTTCTTGAATAACGTTTATATTTCTTGAACGTTCTGAAAATGAACACAATTTTGAAGATGACCAAGTTCACATTGATGAAGAAAACGGTAACAATGTTTCTGAATATTCTGATGAAGATAATAATATAATAAATGAACAAGAAAATAAAAATAAAAAGCGACATTGCCTTTAATATTCAAGGAGTGCAGCAGTTAATATATCGGAGGTATTGAGGAGTATACGATGTGCTGCTCATACTTTACAACTATCTATTCTAGATTATTCAAAATAGAAAGTAAAAAATCAACTATAAAAAAATCACTGAGATTAGGGAAAATGTTGAGATTACCAAAAAATTTGGAAGCTCTCAAGACTGGATATACTACTATATTATTAATCATAATAACTTATTACCTATATTATCTTCATTATATTATATTTTCTTATATTGTAAAAAATAAATAATCGGCTTTTGGATTTATTTTGGCTGAAGCTTCTTTAGTTTTTTCCAAGTTACATTATCCTGTTGGGGTATATTTTTAATATTTATCTTAATTATTAGTAAAGATAGGAATAGATGTAATTCATGATCTGGATTTTAATATTAAATTACTAATTATTCTTAAATAATTTTGAATTCAAAATAGTCAAAAGATAATTTTGATTCATAACGATTTTTTCAAAGCTCGAAAACACAGCTTACATAGCTTATTACGTTCTTTGTATAATTGTTTAAAGAACTTAATAAGTTATAACGTTTTTCTTGTAATTGATAAAGGAACTTAATAAGTTATAACGTTTTTTTAGTAATTTTTCAAAGAACTTGATAGGTTATGGCGTTTCTATGTCAATTTTTTAAAGAAGTTTTAAGATTTTAACGTTTTTCATTAAAAAAGTCAGTAAACTTAATAGTTTATACTGTGATTTCATATGAAGGACCCAATAAACTAAATTTAATAATTGTTTTCGTTCCGTTATATTTTGGTTTATGAACAAAAATAATGTTCTTTTACCGTTTTTACGTTTTTTTACGTTTCGTTTAGAAACCCTGCATACAAATACATACTAATTATACATAATAATAATACTAATATAATAATATTATTATTTATTAATAATAATACATATTAATTACGTACTAATTATTTGCATATTTTTTTTGGTAAATTTCTTACTGAGCGAAGCTGGTGTGATGTTCGTCAAAAAGATAATACACAATTACAAAATAATAAAAGTAAACTATTAATTCAAATTGGAATGTTATTAATAAATTAAATTTTAAATTTTTAAAATTAAATTACAAAGTTTAATCTTCTTTTTTTTGTTTTTCCAGATTTAGAAATAATATCATCAACATTTATGGGTATATTCTTGTGAATATTGAGCAAAACAAGACCGATGAAGCGTTCCTCACCCATTTTTGAACGAAGTCACGTCTTAAGATGACTGACAGTAGAGAATGATCGTATGTATAGTATTTTTTAACAAGTTATTAGAATCTAAATTAGTGATTAGCGGTGCCTTAGCAAGTATATAATATTAAATACCTATAGACATACGGATAACGGATTGACAATAATCTTATCTAAGATAAGTTATCTTTCCGTCGAAGTATTCGAATATTTCCATATATTTACTATTATATTTAAATTTACTCACCAACAATATTATATCAAATAAGTCGATCAATAAGTTTATAATCATTTATATAGAATATTCTTGGAAGTTGGATAGAAATTATGAATTTATGAACAAGTGGTGATGTAGTTTAAACGTATGTAAAAATAATATGTTTTATAACATTTTTATTGCAAGAAAATATCTAATTGAAAAAAATTTAAAAACACAATTTATGCATATATTGATTTTTAACTAACACGAAGGACCTAATCTAGATGAATTTTTTTTGGGGGAAGTGTTCATAACTCCCATGGCCCACCATGGATCCGTGCCTGATTGTGTTTACATAAAAATTAAGTATAATATACAACTGAAGTATACCTAAGTAGTATACCAAAGACCATATCATTATACAGGCAATGAAAAATGTTTATTGATATTGGCATTTGTGTTCCTGGTTACACTAGGTCCAAGGACATCTTTTATATACCACCAAATTGTACAAATTTTGGGAAAAATGCATCTTTACCAAGGATGATGTCGATTTTGAATAATAGTCTGTAGTTTTTCGTACCTTGGCTAACATTTATATCTTATTTTGCTCTTTATGTAACTTTAAACATAGTACTATTCTTTGTTCAATTAATCTAAACATTAATTTCATGTAGTTTAAATCATAATTTAATTACTAGTGTTCTGTAATACTGTAATACTTTTCTCAAATTCCGCATAGCGTATATTGAAATAAATAAAAATAAAATACAATATTCCAATTTTTTTATTGAGATGATTTCATTTAACGAAAATTCGCTTCGACACAAATTAAATTAAACCTTTTAAGCTGTGTTAAGAGTAATATAAAACAAATAAATAATGATAATTTATTTTTTATGAGTCTCGTATTGTCTTATTTTGTAAACATTACTTTATGTCAGGAATGGTAAACGTTTTTAAAAAAACGTTATTAAACGAAAAAATAATGAATAACGAAAACGAAAAAAATATTATAATGAAATCAAAAACGAAAACGAAAAATAAATTATAGTATTATACTATTATTATTTATTAAAAAAAAAAAAATATATCTGTTATCAAGAAGTTGATAATTCTGATAACTAATAGGTAATTGTTAACAAATAAAATATATTAATAGCATAACATAATAATTATAGTCCACATGGGACATACACATTGCAGTGGTAACGGTAAAATTATATTATCTTTCATGTCGACGGCCATGGTTCATGGTGTAATCTATAACATGGTTGCCGCTTCAATTATTATAATACAATTATATTATTATCTATTGATATTAGCAGTTGATTAGAAATTGATTTTGTTTTATAATTTATTATACGTACTCATTATCCTATTGGCTATTATAGTTAATAGTAAACATAACATGACTTTTTAGTTTTTACTTTATCAGTGATTGTATTTTACATATTTTCTTAAATGGTTAAATTATTTGATATTAATTATTCTGATATCCATAAGGTATTTAAAATCAAGAATAAACAAGTCTATGTTCGTCTGGGTTTATAATTCAATAATTAATTAATTTAGAAACATTTGAATTAGTTACTAACATATAGTTTAATAACTATTAGTTAGGTATAAGAAATAAGAATAAATGAAAACGAAATAATTAAAAACGTTTTTCATCCCTGCTTTATTTAATTGTACTTGCCAATTAGTTAAGTAAAAATACGAAACATAGTATAATGAAATAACTATGTATAGCTCCATGTTATGTACTCCTAAACATAGTTTGCTATTACCATAGGCCAGATAGATCAATGTCTTTTAAATCACATTGGTGTTGTTATTTTCAAATTGGTTAGCAAGTATAATAAGTGTATTAAAATTAAAATAAATTTAAAAGCACAACTTGAATCGAACAAATTGTTTTTTCAATTTTCAAAAATAATCTGACCTTTTTAAAAAACTGTTTATAATTTACTGAGTCTTTGCATTATATTGATTATTTTTACAAAAATATAATAAAATTGGATTCATATGAAAATCATTTTAAAATAAGGTAGAAAATTACTCACAAATATAAAAAAAAAATCTTATAAATATAAACATTATTTAATTCAATATACTTTTGTATGTTATTGCTAAATCATATATGACACGGTTATTTTTTATTATTACATGTGTTGCCTTTTTATTAATTCATAATAACATCCATTCATTTCAAATAACTCTTCATGAGTACCAATTTCAATGATTTGTCCTCGACGAACAACACCTATGATATCAGCCGTTTGAATGGTAGACAGACGATGGGCAATTATTATACACGTTCTTCCTTTTCTGGCTTCGTCCAGCGCTTCTTGCACAACCTGAATTTGATATGATAAATTATGATTAGTATATTTTTTTATTTTGTTACTTAGTCGATTTTTAATATTACATAAATACATATTTAAACAAGACCATACAAGTGACTTATTATTTTATGCTATTTTCAAAAACATTACAGCGATGCTATTACATATATATTGAGAAAATGGATTAATTTTTTCACAGTTTATTTAAGAAAAAAAGCAAACGGAATTTATAAAGCTAATGATAGAATGAAATAGGTACTTTTTATAATAGTTTAAAAAAAAAATCCGAATCAAACGTGGTGTATATTAGTATATAATAAAATCACCAAACTTCGTAAAAAACTTGTTTACTAACAAATAGATTGCTGGAAAATATTTTAAGGTATCGATGATTGCATAAAAGAAAAAAAAATCGACAATCTTAACATTTTGGTTCGAAAAATTAAAATTTAAAAAAGTTACTTTGAGTAATTATATTTGGTCCATTATTATTTATAAGTGATAAATATTACAATAAATATTGTTTAATATTTACTTTTTCGTTTTCGGTGTCTAGTGCAGATGTAGCTTCGTCTAACAATAGTATTTTAGGATTTTTTATCAATGCTCTAGCTATAGCGATTCGTTGTTTTTGACCGCCAGACAACTGCATGCCCCTGTCACCAGCTATTGTATCGTAACCCTAAAGATTTAATTTTTACTAATATGTTATCTTAGTATAGATTAGTATTGGAAAAGAAACGTTTTATACTTGTGGTAAACTCATTATAAAGTTGTGTGCGTTTGCTTTTTTCGCGGCTTCGACAATCATATCGAAATTCACATTATTATCGCACACACCATGGCTGATGTTTTCTTTGATCGAACAGTCGAATAATACAGGCTCCTGCGTAACCAGGCCGATATTTTTTCGCAAATGCTGAATATTCATATTTCGGATATCACAGTCATCTATTTCCTAAAGATGAACGCGTTCGTGTAATGTATAAATGTATATATTATAATAATATAGTACTCGGCACTTGACGGTATACACTTACGATCGTGCCGCAAGAAGGATTATAAAAACGTTCGAGAAGCGATATAACAGTACTTTTGCCACATCCCGATTCGCCGACCAACGCCAGTGTTTTTCCGGATTCAACAGTAAAATCCATGTGGTTTAGGATTTTGTTTGCCCGTCTCGTTGGATACGAAAAATGAACTCCTCTAAATGATATCTTACCGGTTATTTCCTGTGAACGATTATAGTACACATATCACCGTAGTGTTACGATAAATGATCAAATATTAATAACCCGCGCTTAAAAAACATAAATAACCGAACCGGCGTATATCCGTCGTTCGATTGGCTATCGATTTCCGTTGGTTTTTCGATCAGTTGAAATATGATCGAAGCGGAATGTTTCGCTTTGGCGTAGTCCTGGAGAAAAGCCATCGTGTGGCCGACGGAATGTGCGGAGAACGACAGTGCGAAAAATACCCTATGAACGACGGTATTAATTGTTAATTTATTATCAGGAGAACACACGTTCGGCAAGTTGTTGTTTTACTACGAACCGACCTGTAAACGGCGGACGGAGTCATTTCTTCTTGAAGTACCAAATAAGATCCGTACTTAAAAGCGATGGAGTATAGTATGTACGTGATCGATTGCGACAAAGCGAATAATGTCGCGTACAGGTACGTTTGTTTTTTCGCTTCCCTGCACATACACGTGATGAAAACACAATTTAATATCAAGTAAACAAATGAATTAATGAATAAATGTTTACCCAGGAGTATTATTATACTTGTAAAGTACAACCGGTTTCGAATTAAAAACATACAGAGTCAATAAAATGAGGATTTTTTTTATTTCTTTATATAAACTGTTTTTTATTTATATATTAATTTACGAGTGTTAACCATTTAATAATTTTTAATTTATTCGATTTTTTTTATGACTTTATTAATATCAAGTTTTAGACACCAGAACGTGCGAGTTTTTGCTATACTTTTACACGCACGCGCGTATTATTATTTTAATAATATTATACCTGTTAGGAATTTTCAAGCTTTCGCGATAAAGGTCGACAAACTTTTTCTCTTTTCCTAACGACTGCACGGTGCGCACGTTCTGTACACTTTCGGTTGCTATCTGAAATTACATTTTTTTTTTTTTGTTTTATTTTTTATACATTTTACAATGTGAAGGCATGCAAGTAATTTATCTAACGCCCCGAAGACCGCGAGCGTGCGTAAAATTTATTACTCTGCCCGCTTCGTCCATAAATTTCGCGTCTCTGCGTTGGTTCTTTCTGAGACTCATCTGCTGTTGGTACCCGGCACCGATTATAAAAGGAACGGCGATCACCAGTATCATGGCCAGTTTCCATCCGTAAATGAACGCTATGCACACGGCCGAGGTAATGGTAACGACTGCCGACATCACTTGGCCGGCTCGCATTCCGCCGGCCTAAAAAAATGAAATACAAACCCGAGACCGAAATTTAATCGTCTGGTCGAGCTCACGGACCGCGTGTAGAAGTTACCACCTACCGCTTTCACTACCGGGGCATCTCTGGCCAACTTGGTCGTCAGACAGCCGGGACTCGATTCCTTGTCGTCGAACCATCCGACCGCTTGTCTGAGTATATTTGTAAACGCCAGCACCCGTAAGCGCATCATCAGTTTTTCAGCGGCGAACGTTAGTAACCATGTCTGCGAATAATGCATACATTCTCACATGAACTGTATGGAATATTTAAACGAAACGTTTAAAGTACGTACTTGGCATAGTATGGCCAAACCCGAGGCTACTCCTAGTAAAACAAACATTGCGGACCAAAATGTTGCTTCTCTTTCCAATGCTTCGCCTTTCAGCGTCAAACACTAATTTCAAAAAAATTATTCCATTAGTTCAATAGCACACCGTTGTTTAACGATGTCGAAGATAACTGATTATTTTAATAATGTCTTACCTCGAATACTTGTCCGTAGAAATAAGCGTAAATAGGGACCAAACCGCCGTTTATGATACAACCGATACAACCGAACAACAGATATGCCCATTCCGGTGAATTAACTTTTATGAGTTTCCACATGCAGTACTTTGAATTCTTTTTCTGAAAACCGAATAATTATTTAAATACATATAATCTCGTGTAATTATTAAGTATACGCTAGCGTAATCGACTTGGTTAGGACATTATGACGTCACATAAAGCGAATAATGAACCATATTTTTATCTTTACCGAATAATTATTACGACATATTTCTATACTCGTTTTTCTATTACTATTGAGCTTCTGAAACTCCTCAGGAATATTGGTCTTAAAACAATATTTAATATGATATGATGAATGGCTGTCCGTAAATCATGTTATATGATAGCATCATGATTACAATATTAAAATTATTGATCGATGAAATGCGTGAAAGAGATTATAAATATTTATATAAAAAAAAAAAACATTTACGACATAATAGGTACTTACATTTTCATCCAATACACTCTCGCCACACGTAGACTGATTTTCAGACATTTCTTCATAGTTTGCACAAGCATTATCATATTCCTGTCTTTATGTTGTATTCCAGAATAAATTAAATATGTATTAATCCACTTACACTATACGTTAACATAAAGTTTACTTACCTACAAGTTGAATCTTCTTGATTCTTATCACTTACTTTAAGTTGTGACACCACCAAGTTGTGGTATACGCCTTTTTTATGCATCAAATCGTCATGTGTTCCAGATTCGACAATTTTACCATTCTAAACACGTATAAATATATGACAAATATACTGCGTATTTAATTAAATCATATTTGAATAATATTTAACTGAATACCTTCATTGCGTGAATGACGTCTGCATTTTTAATTGTTGAAAGTCTATGGGCCACGATAATCGTCGTTCTGCCTTTCATCACTCGATCCAATGCTTTTTGCACGATCCCTTCGCTTTGTGAGTCTAGCGCTGATGTAGCTTCGTCCAATAACAATATTTTCGGGTTTCTAACCAGTGCTCTTGCTATTGCGATTCGTTGTTTTTGTCCACCCGAGAGTTGACAACCTCTATCTCCCACAAATGTGTTATAACCCTGAAATAATTAATCCAAATTGCTGAAATTTCTCATTTGTGTGCATTTTAATAAAACACATTACGTTCGGTAGTTCTTTAATAAAATCGTGCGCCATTGCTTGTGATGCAGCTTCTACAAGTTCTTCGTCCGTAACGTCTTCTCGCCCATATCGGATGTTATCAGAAATCGACACTCCGAAAAGAATTGGCTCCTGAGATACGAGTCCAATTTGATCTCGAAGCCAATGGACATTTAGATCGGAGAGTTTATTCGAATCTAGATAAATCTAAAAAAACCAAAATAACAATTCGAGCGTGATGTATTAGTTATTATTGAGTTCTATAGTTTACTAAACGGCTATAAATTACTTGTCCCGCTTCTGGATCGTAAAATCGTAAAAGCAAACCAATAATAGTACTTTTACCGGCACCGCTTGAACCCACTAACGCTACAGTCTGGCCGGGTTCGATTGTTAGATTTAAACCATTAAGTACCTGAAAATCATTTGATATAAAACATATCTCGTCGAGTTACTGAGACACTGGCGCAGTTCGCTCACTTTGATTGTTGGCCTCGACGGATAACTGAATTCAACGTTTTTTACTTCGATTTTGCCGGTAATATCCTTTGGCTTTTTCCCGCTCTTGGATGACGCGTCGATTTCCGGGACTCTATCGATAACACCGTAGAGATTTCTCGCCACTCCCATGGCCGTGGTGACCGCGTTCATATACGGCAAAGCGTTTCCTACTGAAAACGCGCCCGACATCACGCTAAAGAATACCTGTGAAGAAACGCAAAACAATACACCGTCATCAAAAGGATAGTCGAAATATTGTTCATTGTAATTATTTCATGATGCAACATGATTGCGCAATTTTTTCCTTTTTTGACCCGACTAATTACATCACGATTGCACAAAAAATTTGCAACACGATTGCGCCCCAATCCCTTTTTACCTAATAAAAACACATCATTGCGTACCAAATAATATGTGTATTTATTATGTAGGTGTAATAATTTATGTACCACATAAAATAATATATACAATATATACTTTCTATAATGTGCATATACATGCACTTAAACTATTAATTTACAAAATGCACTTTTTCAAAATCGGAATTGAGCTAATAATAGTTATAATAGTATTATCGACTAATGACTATCAGTAAAGAAAAAAAAAACAATTTTTAACCAAGTCAACGATGAAAATTAATTGATAGTCCTAAGCCTGTAATAATTTGGAAGGAAAATTGTGAATTAATAAGTAGAAAGTATGTATTTTATACATTATTTTATGTTGTACATAAATTATTATACATAGTATATATACATATAATTTGGTGCACAATGGTGTTATGATTTTATCAGGTAAAAAGAGATCGGGGCGCAATCGTGTTGCAAATTTTTTGCACAATCATGGTGTAATTAGTCGGGTTAAAAAAAGGAAAAATTGTTGCAGTTTTATTTCACGATTATATTATAATATAGTCACGGTGAAAACTGTGCCAGGTGTAGCCTCTCCTCTTGCGACCAATTTAGCCCCATAATAGAACGCTACGCCGTATCCGATGTACATCAGCATGAACATAGTGCCGAGTCCGATAGAAAAAATCCTGTACCTCCGTATAGCGATTTTACTTCCTTCTTTCAACGCGGCGGTATACCTATTTCAATAAACGTAGTGTAAATGGACCATTATAAATACATGGAACCAATGAATATTAACGGCAGTGTTGGATTTACGAATAGGCAACATAGGCAGGTGTCTAGGGCGCAACATTTAGGGAAAGTGAAAAGATTTTCCTCCGGCTTTTTTTTTTTTTTTTTATTTCAATATTTTTATTTTAATTCTTTTGAAATTAAGATTTTTAATTTTTTTTGTTTTGTCAAAAAACTTAACAATCAGTAAATATAATTTTAAAAATAAATTATCTATACGTTTACCTATTAAGTTGCTTATTATTGTTTCTCTGTTATGTTGTGGAGTTTGGGTTACCAATTACCGTTGTCACCAACTAACGTTAATCATTTACATGAAAAATCCAATCTATTTAATTTACGAACATTTTTGTATAAGAGAAACTACACAACAATTTTTCAAAATATTGAAATTATGTTGGGTATTTTTACAGACCAATTGTTCAGCAGAACGATATTTTTCATGTTCGAAAATAGCAAAAATTTCTTATGATCTATTAAGTATCAAGAAAGAATGAATTCACTAATTATACTTAATATTGAAAACAAAATTACTCGGCAGATATTGTTTGATGAAATAATAGATGACTTATTATCTGAAAAACACGACGTTAGGCACTATAAATTTGGTTACATTAGGGTGACCATATGTAAAAAAAAAAAATACAGGACATATATATATATATATTTATTAATTTTTAATTGTGAAAAAACACAATTTTTAATAACACTGTATAACATTAAATTCATGTACTTTACTTTTTTATAAAACTTCTTAATTCATTTTGATGACGATTGTTCAGACATGTTTTCACTATTTGATCTTTCATATTTTTCTGAAGAAGTAATTAGCTTTAATAATTGTGGATTTTCTTAAAGAAATATATGAAATTCTGTACAAGAAACATTTTTTAAAATGTTGTTTTACGATCATTATCGATCTAATTGTGTCCACGAGAAATCGACTTTTCTCATCTGTCCATAAAACATTTGTAATTTAAAATACTCTTTCTACCGACGCGTTAGTTCCGGGAATAGCCATTGAATGCTCTAAAATAACCGTAAAATATTTAATTGAAATGTAATTTTTTTCTAGAATTTTAAATATTTCACAACACCTATCTTCGGCTTTTAAACCATTACTAGTTTTTAAAATTAACCTTCATTACATTTATCACATGATTAAATTCGTCAAAAAGTTCATCTTCATCGAATTTCAATGTTGGATTATTCTTAATAATATATTTCAAACTCTCTTAAATGTCAATCCAAATTGGAAAATCTAGTACTTGAATCCAACGAAAAACTTTTAGTGGTTCAAATTGATATCCCCATTTTTCCAAAATGGTCATTTCGATAACTCAGATAAGTTCCGATAACTCGTAAACATTCTTCTCATACTGATAAATTCAAACAATCACAAGATTATAATTATAATCATTATTCATTACTTTCGTAAGTTTCGTTTTCAAATTAATTTCGTTTGATCAAAAAAAACAGGACAAAAAGTGTCCTGAAAGAAGTTTGTCAGGACAATAGGACACAATACTGAAATAAAGGACAATCCTGTAAAAAACAGGACGTATGGTCACCCTAGGTTACATCAAACTTACATAATTTTTTTTTTTTATTAATATTTAATACTTTGATATTTTTATTTGATTTTACATAATAATTAACTTTAATTTATCCCATGATCTTAATTTAAAATTATTTATAATATGAACTTTATTATTGTTTACAGTGCATGCAAATAAATAAAAAAAATATTGCGAGACTATGAATAGGGTATGAGCAAAACAAGAGCAACCAGAATACAAATAATTTATAGAGAGAGACTACATTTTTAAAAAGATATTGGAGAACCAGTTTTTACTTGGCATTGAAAGCGTATGTTCAGCAGTGCCTAAGGGCACAAAAATTCAAAGTCCGGCATTGACTTACAAAGTGGGTATAATTAATATTTATAATACTCATTATATTATGTTTAAGTACGAACCCGGAGATCACTTTTTTTTCCAATCCAAATGCGGCTACGGTTCTAATGGCGGTAAACACTTCTTCGGCAATCGATCCGGCAGCCGCGTACTTAATTTGTTCTTTACAACTAGCCGCGGATGAGTTCTAAAAATCCAAAGACAATTCCGCGCGATTATTGTTTACGCTACATTATGAGGGTAACCGGATAGTACAATATTGAAAAACTTGAAAAAAAAAATAAGTCACAACACAAAAGTATAATGAAGAAAAAAGTCTAAAAATTAAAAGGCTGTAATTAAAATAAAACTAATATAAATAAATCGATCACTGATCACTACTGTTCACATAGATATTAATACATTTTTTACTTTGCAATTATTCGCTAGGTTAGTTTAAATGAAAAATATTAATTTTTAGGGCGTCGTCCATAACCGCACACTTTCAAAAACAGGTCATCGTTCGAAACCGCACACTTTTATATCTTAATCACACATATTTTCGCCAAATTATACCGTTCAATACCGCACAAATTTATATATATATATATATATATACAGGGACGCCCACAGAAATGTAGCTCAGGGGGGGCAAAAAAATTGTAAGTACCTAAATACTTATAGGAAGATTTACTGCTACATATTTCATCTACTCATATTTTGTATTACTATTATTAATAATTTTTTAAAAATCAAAACTCATTTAAGTTTATATAAAATTACATTATTAGTTATTAGTTTAAATATTTATAAGAAAAAATATAATAAAGTTTAAACAAAAAACAACTTTATTTGATTAAATTCGCATCATATTTTATTATTTTATTCAAAAAGTAATGACAATCTCCTTTTGTTTGAAGCAAATAAATTAATTGAATCATCATTTGTTGATTAAAAAAAATGTTAGATACTTGTTAGATACAAGGATTGTCGAATAGTCACTGAATACCCAAGATCAGCTTTATGTAAAATAACTTCCAATTTTGTAAGGGACCCGAAAATCTTAGGGGGGGCAATGGCCCCCCACTGCCCCCCCATCCGGGAGTCCCTGTATATATATAAATGTGTGCGTCATTTCAAATTTTTTCATGGGATGCATAACCGATATTGAAAATCTAAAGTAATAGGTTGCTCGCATGGTCGAGTCATCCTGAATTTTTTTCAATACCTAGCTTTTTTGTGTAAATGTAAATAATTTCATAGAAATTATACTATAAAACAAATAACAATAATTTTGTTAAAAAAAATAGTTTTTATTTTGTTTTAACACAAAATTATATGGATCACTACAGAAAATTGTTCAATAATAAATTAAATCAGCAATTCCCAAACTGTGCACCGTGGTGCCCTAGGGGCACCATGATAATTTTCTAAGGGCACCGCGGTCTACGTACGGTTCATAACAAATAGTTTAAAATGTATAAAATTGTTTTTTCTTATGTTTTTCGTAAAAACTTTGTAGCAAATAATGTAATATTTTCTATTGTATATTCGTATATTCTCATTTTAACCTAATTTATACTAATTTATACTTTAATTACTACTTACTTTAATTACTACTTTAATTACTAATTTATACTTTATACTAATTTTATATAATAATTATAATCATAATAACAATAATTTTTATTTATTTTTTAAGTTTAAAAATGCATTAATTTATAATTAAGTTAAATTTTAATAAAATTAATAAAATTGGTTATCAATAGGGTTTTTTTTGTTCTATAATGTTGTTCATAGCAGGGCACCCTGGGTAAATTGGGTCCAAAAAAAGGTACCGCTGAAAAAAAAGTTTGGGAACCGCTGAATTAGATAATACAACTAATCAAATTTAACTTTATTCGATCATTAGACATTTCAATGAACTAGTTCATGTTGTATTGGTGATCAACAAAATATTGTGACAAACCAAAAAAAATTACAAAATTATTGTTATTTTTTTTTATATTATAATTTTATGAAATGATCTACACAAAAAGTGTGTTAAAAATAATTCATGGGATTATTATAATGTATTTGCACATTCTTTCATCCCACAAATAACGCCACTGTATATATATATATATATCAATTACGTATAAATTTATCTGAAATAACATGAGTGCACCTCGAGACTAACACCGGTTTGACTATCGCTCTTAAATCCGCGATGGATTATCATTATCCATCCCGATATGCATATCAATCACATATGTATGTCTAATTCAAGATCATTTATTTAACATTTCAATTTTAAAAAATAATCAGCAATAAGTTCAATATTTCAATAGCAAACATTTCGGGATTATTTTTGAATTCGACTTTTACTGCGTGAATCAATCTCGTACGGATATTATGAGCACGAGCTTATCATGTGAATACGAGCAAATAACATCTCACCTGACTAAGGTAAGCCGTAATGCCAATAATTATCGGTCCGACGAAAAGCAACAGACCTGTCAGTTCTGGGCTGATGTAGAAACCAATCAGCAGACCGGAAACAAATGTAGATATATACTGCGTGAGTATGCTGAACTTGCTACTTATACCCTCTCGGATTCGTTCCAGATCACTATAAATAACGGTAAAACGGCATTGAACAGAATACCGAAAACATCATGGGTTGTTTTAAAAAATTTGCAACGTCACGCAACATACTCGAACAGTTTTGTCGTAAGATCTCCGCTTTGGTTGGTGTCGAACCAAGTGATATCCTGTCTGATGATCTGCGAGAAGAACACATTACGAAGTCGGTACACTTGCCGTTCGCATGCCATTTCCCAGCACCAGGTCTGTGAAATCAATATACATTCGCTGCTTAAGTACCAATCATTCGTAACACAATGCTAAAGGGTTTTCGCGCTACAACACCTGTACAAAAGCAGCGATTAATACGACAATACCGATGTATAAGTAGTACAACGAATATGTCGTCATGTACTGGTCGAACTCTTGAGGAGAAAGCGGCGGCAGTGATGAATCCACTTCGGCAGTCGTGCTTTAACAGATTAAAATAATAATATAATTTAATACAAAACATTTGCAAAAAGAAAACGATTTATAATTTACGCGTTGAATGAAGTAAAATTGTAGCTGTAACTTGGTGTTGTAACCGTGATGGGATTTCGCTGCAAAATAAATAATTGTATAAGTAGATTATTAAGTAAACGTAAAGGTTCAGTTAACGATCGTTTTAAACGAAAGATTATTCTTTTCACTTAAAACACTGATGATGGTCGTTTTAGTTCTAAACAAACGTTTAATTGTTATCGTTATACAATTTGTATTTATATTAAAGAATACGTTGAATGGTTTGACAGTTCAATTTTCAGTCGATTTAATTGCTTCGCCGTTTTTGTTAAAATATAATGTAAATGCATGTATGAATCGTAGATTATTAAATAATAAGTACCGCTGCAGTTTGTCTGATGAACGTGTTTGTCATTTGACCGAAAAACATGGCCAGGACAGGTAAACTAGCTCCCGTAGCCAATGACGTGATGACGCCAACAATCATCAGTATCTTATCCCAAATGTCTGCGTATCGAAACTGTAATGTGTCACAAATACAAATAACAAGTTAAATAAATTATATACACTAAAATAAGCTTTTACTGTACAAACCCTATGTGTTATGGTTATTTTTTAATGGAATAAAGAAATCAATTTCCAATAAAAAGTCACTACACACGTTTGATCAATATATATTGTTTTAATATATAAATATATTATCCTCAAAATCAAATTATTTGTTCGTCAGATATTGATTGAAAAAAATTTTAATACTATCATTATTATTATTATTATTATTATTATTTTTATATTCTATTGTATTTAAATTTACATTTGAAAATACTTTTTTCTTTAACTTCTGAAAATATTTTTAATCATATACACAGACATTCAAATGTGACTGAGTATGTACATGATGTGCATATTTTAATAAACTTACTATTAAAGTCAACGTAGAAAACTGAAAACTTTTGTTACATCTCAAATAAATTAACTATTACGAATAAATATTACATATTATGGTAGGTATTCACACGAAAAATATCAGCGTAACATGTATACATTATTTTTTAATAATATTTTGTATGCATAATTTTCATGTTACTGTTAAATCATTGTAAACTATATTATAAGATTTTCGTATTATGTATGATGTTATTAGTGTTAAAACGTACATATTGAATTAACATGAAATTTAATATTATGGAAGAATAGTAAATTTCACAACATAATGTTCAGTGCATAGTAAATTTATGATAACAGTATAAATAATTAGATATTAAAGTGCATATTTTAGATGATCAATTCAAACGATATGTATAGTTTATGAATAATTAAAATAATGCCTGAACATTTCAGCGCAACTATAAACACTTATGAAGAATAAGTACATTTCAATCATTTTAGGCACGGAATATTATGTCTTTCCTAAAAAAATTCATCTGAAGTTAACTTACACTCGTGCTTGCTTACTATTATCGCTATTCTAAATTAATTTGATTTGATCAAAACTAGTCCTGGTCCTAACATTATATCAAATCGTTATTTTGCCTGATGTTAATTTTTTTTAGCTATTTGTTTAAATTTATTTATTCAATCTATTCCTTTTTTCAGGTTCTTTTTCTTATAATTCGGAAATTCGTTTCGAAACCATAATCAAAAAAGTAAAAGATTTATCCGGCATAATGAACTATCGACCTATATCCCAAATTTCTATTATACCCAAAATATTAAATCTATTGTCTACATACAAATGTGTACCTACTATTGCTCCGATAATTTATAATGATTAATATGTATTTTTGAGAGGTAGATCAATTACAATTAATTTAATAATATTTTAAATATATATTTATATATATATATATATTGAATTTTTTTTGTATCTGGTTATCAAGTGGATTTAATTTATACTGATTTTTCAAAAACTTTCGATACCTTTCTAATAAACTCCATGCTATTTGTATTCGTGATCCTTTTTTATCGTGGTTGATTTATTATGTGACAAACAGTAAACAGATAGTCAAAAAAAAAATGTTATGCTAGATCTATTTAATATTATATCAAGAGTTTTACAAAGTTTTCATTTAGTTTCTTTGTTATTTATTTTGTTTATTAATGATTTACATTTTTTAAACTGGCGTAAGCTTTTGTTTGCTGATGATATGAAATTATTTTAATAAGTGAAGTCCCCTGTGGATTTTGTCCTCTTGCAAAACAACTTAAACACATTATCAGTTTAGTGCAAACAAAGCAATTTATTGTTGAACATTGAAGAGTGCAAAATTATGTCTTTTTCCAGATTACGTTTGCTAGTTATCCACAACTATAATTTAAATAAAATTCTACTTCAGTGGTTGGTTTGAAATCGTTATTTAAATGTAACGTTTGACAAGGCTCTATCTTTTAAAATGCATTATTTAAATATCCAAAAAAAATCATCATCCATTCTTGGTTTTATCACTAGGCCATGTAAATCCATTTTATTAAAAACATTATACTTTTTAATTTGTACGTTCTACACTTGAATATATTTCTATAGTTCAATTGTCCTATGATAATATTTATATACAATGCCTCGAAACTATCCAGAATCGATTCCTCCGTTTTATACACTACAATTTTAATATCCCGTGTCAACCTCATTCACCTTATAAGCCGTTATTAAATGCACTAAATATAAGCAGCTTGGTCACTCGGAGAAATGTATTGTTTAATTAATTATTGTTATTAATTCTTATTTAAATTGATCATTGGCTACATTGATTACTCATAATTGATAAAATTTATAAATTTTCATATCCCTCAGTGACAAACTACATCAACTTACACTTTTTACACACAACTACACATAACTTACTATGTTATAAATGCTGCTTTAATTAGATTCACTAGATTATCTTATGATACCTAAATGTATTTATTTAATTTTAATTATATTGAGTCATTTTATAATTATATTATTAGATATTATGAGACATTTTTATTATTATGTTCGTAAAATTGAATTATTGTTATTATTATTTTTTTTTTAATTTAATTTAATTCTACCGTTTTTTTTTCGCCTATAATATAAACGTATTAGGCTTTAGCCCGTTTGAATTACAATAAATAAATATAAATTCATACACAATACAACCGGGTTACGAGATTTAAGCAGATTTTTTTTGTTCCACATACCGAGCAGCTCGATGTTACCACAATGTTTTATATGTTAATGAGTTGAAAAATAAGAAACATAACTTTAATTATACATGGGTAGAGGTAATTTTTTTAAATTTCACTTCATAAAACTTTTGTGTTACACTCAGAACCCTTGTCGCGCAGACGATTCGGAATAATAACTTAACATCACCTGTACTCTCTTAATTACTATGCATTGTATTTTACCGTTGATGTGTTGTTACTTCATAAACTAGTTACGAGTTCTAGAAAATAACTTCAAGCACGACGGCATAATGTACATTGTCATGTAACCCGACAAAAAAAGTGGACGTGGTTAACGAAGATAGATGCTCTCTCGTAGAGGTGAAACTTATACTGCACGTGCGCATTTAAATCGAATAAACATAAATTATTACATTCAACACGGAATCCGAACACACCCCGTCAACCATAATTTTCTATCGGTGTGCGATTGCCTCAGTACGAAAATTACACGCAGGTTCTTAATAACGCATAATACGTGTACTGTGGACCGATGATAATGATAATAGTTTATAATGAAAGAAATATCAATATTATAAGTTTCACACTTAACACACACCGTCTATTTATTTTTCCATTTATAAAAATAGACGCTCGCGAGTAAATCGTTTTGTAAAGATCGTAATTATTATTCAACTTCATTATAGTGTTATAAGAGAAAATTGAACACAACATAGGTTTGGGAACTGTTTGAAAATGCGTGATAATAATAATTATTTTACCAGGATTTACGACAGTTAATAATAACTTAAAAATACGAGTATATCACGTATATATTATATGAGAGTGCAGTGGCGTACATACGGGGGGGGGGGGGGGGGTGTCCGTGTTCAACCCCCCAGGGTCAAAAGAAAAAGAAAATTGTTTTATTATTGTGTAATATGTGTAATATGTTCGTAGTTTCATTATTACGCTTTAATTTTAAAATATACAACTATACAAATATTATGATAATTAAATAATTATATTGATAGATGTTTGAAAAGTTTTGTTAACTATGCTGTTTTTGTATTCTAATAGCTATTAATTTACTGTAATGTAAAAGTAAACTGTAAATTGGTAAAAAAGTTGTATAAAATAATATCTATTTATAGCAGTTATTTTTCTTATTTATCTGTGCAACGAAAAAAAAAGATTGTGATTTTTTTTGTTAACCCTCCCCTCCCCCAGAGCAATATTGAATGTACGCCATTATCAGAGTGACTTATAAAAATAAAAATAATAAAATCCATAATATGTGGTAGATTACCTACCGCAATTATGGATGGAACTCTACTGAAATATTGAGGGAAAAACCACCATATCTACATACACAATATTTCGTATTCCCATCATTATTGGATTTAATATAATAATCCAGCTAAGAATAAATTTATCATCAATAAGTTTTAATATAAATTTTAAATTTTGGTAAACACGTTTGGATTTCAATGAGTAAATGTTATACAAATTCTATCAATACCTAAAAACAGTAAAATATCAATATTTTAATTAGTAATTTTAATATTTCATTGGAAAATGTATAATAAAATTAATGAAATAAATCATCAAAAATTGTTTTAGACCCGTTCGATTACTTAATAACATGTTAATATTATAATACAATTCAATATAGCTGAATTCAATAGGTAGTCGTTGCCAATGAGTCCTTATATATTTTAAAGTTATTTATCAACTCGCTGCCTTGAGTTCATGATAATAATTTTCTTTATCGCGTCTATTTCTTCACCAAAATCTTTTCGGTTCTCTAATAAAAAAAAACAATTGCTTTCGTATTCTATGAAACAGCAATCAATTTTGGATTATTTTTTGATTTTTTTATTCTATAGTAATATCATTCATTGTATGCATATTTACAGCGTTTTTTATTTTATATTTGATATATTTTCAACTATTAAATATTTACACTATAACAGGCAGAAGCTAATATTTTTGCTTATAAATAATTCGCGTGTCGTTTGTAATTTTTATTTACGTTTTTAACGTAAATAAATTTGATTCCCCAGATACAAAAATATCTCGTTTTGGTTTTACCTCGTTTATCACGTTTGCGCATCCGTCGGCTAATTATATTTAGAACTACTGTACTACCGTATAATAATATACTCTTATTAATGATAAATCTATTTGATAATAATACTATGGATCAAAATACCTTACATGTATTGTATCATAATAATGTACCTAGGAAACTTACAATGTGGAAGATACCGGGTTTGACGTTGACCCCGGTTATGTACTTCATCTTAACGATGGTCCTAAAAGATACCAAAACAAATGCACAATGCAATGTTGATTATATACGTGGTATGCAAATCTCATTGTGTTTAAGTATATACTTATTCAAATTTAGCGTGGAGTTTGATATACCCGGGTTGATCGATGCGCTCATTATGATTGATGGTAACTCGATATCTTCGACGTGCCCGCACCGTTCCTGTAACAATTCAAATTTTGTCTGTAAATACGCATTCGTTGTTCAATCGATCTTATACTGCTTAATGTACATATAATATTTTTATACATGCATACACATGGTATGAATGACCAATTTTGTCTAAATTAAAGCATACTTGACCATATAATATGAGTAACTAAACTAAACACTCAAGCACAATTTTATTTTCCGTCTACATTATGTAGATAATATTATAGTAAAGAATAACAGATTAATAATGATTAATAAATCGACGTTAGCGTTTTTTAAATTAATCACCACTCACTGTTATGTATATATATATAAGTTTATATATAAATTCTTATTAAAAATTAATTATCCTAACAGAATAGGTAAATTTTAAAAATAGTTTGAAATAGATGGTTTCAATTTTGTTAAATAAGCAATACTTAAAATATTGACTGTTCTTTATTTACATGTTTAATCGAGAATTAAATAAAATAATTTAATATTTGTAGTGTTCGTATTGTTAGAAGATAAAAATTTTTCATTATCTTAATTAGTTAACTTATAAAATTAAAATTAATAAAACCAGCTTAAAATTCGATAAAAATAAAGTTATGTATAGGTACAAAACACTATTTTATCGTACAAGTATATTACTTTCATACTGAAATTTAAGTATAATAGTACAAATAATGTACGTTAATAATAATTGACACGATTAAAAAAAAAATGAATTACTTAAGTTGGAAAAAGAAGCCTTCATTAGTATGATACTTAAACAGTGTCATTGATCATATTTCGCCATATTTCAACACCAAAATACAATATATGTAAGCTGTATATTTGTATAGCTGTAAGGGGGAAATCGAACATGTGCTATTTATATAACGTATAGCGTTAGTCATATTTTACAATATATAACATTTAAAAATAATACTTATAGATTAAAATATAATTAAAAAATAGTATATCGGTATAAATTATTTAAGTAATTTAGCTTAAGATAGATTATTTAAAAGTGATATAATTGTAAACTTATATCTAAATTTTGGACCCACCAAATAACCTCGGGACTTGGGAATCGAACATTTTTGGCAGTAACATTAAACGTATGTTCGGAACATTCAAAAAATATCCCATGTTTGATTATCTGGATTGTGTAATTTGCTGATGAATCTGAAATTCTCCAATTATACAGTGTAACTGACCGGCGTCAGCTTTGCACGGTAGTTGATATTACTATTATACAATGTGACTATATAATGTTTACTATAATTTAGTGTAGACAAGTTTTGAACACGTTTAGATAAATTAGGAATTTTATAAAAATGTTGTAATGTAATCTTGATGAGAATAAAACACATCATTATTGATCGCCATCGCAATCACAGTCACACACTATAAACATCAGCTAAAACCTACCACGACGATGACAAAACGTGTTCCATGTGAAAATAAAACACCCTACTGCAGCATAGTAATATATACACCAGTTTGTTAAGATTGTTTGACTTTGAACTTCGTTTTTACCGTAGTAGTCACAAATGGTGTTTTTTGGTACGGAAAATTTAAATTCGATGCGCACGAGGTCCATGGGCGTTAAATGAGATGTACTCAATCTGATAGAATTAACTGTAGATAATGCAGACGCTTAAAACGTTTACCATTGCTGTATCCGATGGACACTAATCTCTATAATTCACGTTTTAGTTTGGCAGTCATTTCACTATAAAGGTATAATACGTAAGGGTTTCGTCCATTATGTGATGGCAGAGTATCCGAGAGGTTTTTTTTGGTGGTTCAGAGATTTATCAAATACTCAATTGTTTGATTTAAAAATATAGCCACAAATTAATTTTTCAAAGGACCAATATTTGGAGCTCATACTGCTGTATTAAAAAATGTTCAAAATAAAAAAAATATTATCTGGGTCATACATTTAGTTTCTATAATCATAACTATATATCTGGTTATAAAATATGAAATGACTCATTTTAAAAATATAGAAAAAAAAAACAAGGATAATCCTTTCGTTCTTCAATTTCTGATAATAGTATTATTTTCTCAATTATTGTTTAATTAAAACTGGGATAACATTTAAGACTAAAAATTAAAAAAACTTATGAGTAAGCCTTAAGGTTTTTTAAAAACAAATTATTTTGGCTATATTAAAGATTATTGAATTCAATTGTTGTATGATCTCGTTATGCTATTCCAAAATACCCCAAACATAAGTTTAACTGAACACAAGTTAAAAAAGTTGAATTTATTTAAACGTTTTTCTTCCCAATTTTCAGGTTTTTTGAATTTTGGAGAGTGTCTGTGTTATTTTAAAATTGAAATCCAATATTAAAATCGATTCAGAAACAATTTATCTCAACGGAATAACATAGAAAAATGTATTAAAATTATAAAGTTTTTACATTAATGAGATTTTGTATTCAAAACCATGCACTTAAAAAGTCTTAAATAACATAAGAACGTGTGAAGAATATAATGCAAAAATGTAAAGTGTAATGTTAATTTAAATAAGGAAAAAGTAATTATGAATAAAATTACAACATAGCATGGAATAATCTAATTTTATAACATACTTGTCATCAGTTATTTAATATTTTGAATTATGCATTAAGAAGAAACTTTGATTACATTATGTAAGCTTTCATTTGTTTTATTTATGATAAAAAATAATTATTTTTATCACTTGAATTTTACGTGTGAAAAAAATTGAATGAAAACCAGATTATCTAATAAACTATTATTAAATTAAAAATAATAAGCCATTATATAATTATTATTAAATAACGGGAGGTTTAATACCAGTCATAAAGACCGTTCAATATTATTTCCTTATTACGAGTTCAAAAGTTGACATGATCATAAAAGTATTATATTGCATATAACAATATTTGATCTTATAATAAAAACAACAAAAAAGTTCCAAAAGTAAAATTCCATGACCCTAAAAAGGATCTTTCGATCAAAATAATTTATAATATGGAATGAAGTACATGAATAGTTACTCCTCAATTATTGTAATACATAAAAAGGATGTAAGAGATTTATCACGTCAATAAAAATAAAATTATGAATCAACTTCTATGAAATTGATACAGTTTAAAGTGTGTATGAAGGTCCTTAGTAACTCTCAAACTTCATATTAGCTCCACAAAATGTATAATAGAATCGGCATAGCTGTCCTAAGAGGAACAATGAGGTAAGTGTCTTAGGGAATACTAAGTATTGAGAATTTAGGAGGCGTCATAAAAATTAATGATAATAAAAAAAACGAGGTGTTTTATTTTAAATAGGTAAGCATTAAGTTTTCTTTTATATTGAAATATCAGAGAAGAGGGCCTATCAAATTATAAAATATATTATCAAATATTAAATAATGTAAATAATGTGTTACTTGCCTACATGTATAAATATTACTGTAGGATTTAATTTTTTTGATAAATTAATAATGATAATGATGATAGCAAATTATAACTTTGTAAGTATTATATAAGTAGTAGGTACCAAGTACCATAGTACATTTTATACTATGACGAATATTATCAGTGAATCATAATTAATAGCATTCGAATTTCGTATTATAGAAAAGTACTAAAATACGCACTATAAAACGATTGAAAGCCCCTTAAAATATGCCCTATCTTAAAAGTATACAAAAATATTTAAAAAAAAAAGAAATATAAATCAAAATTTAATTAATTATCTTTTACTGACAGTTAATTTTATTTTTTAAATTATTATCTAAAATATAATCTTATAAATTAGTATATTTATAAAAAAAATTAAATGACCTGTTAATGATTTAAAATAAATTTTATTATAATACATAAATTAATACTATTTTTCAATTAATTTAAATATTATTTATGATAAATTATAAATAATGTATTCTATTATTATATTATATAAGTATATAAGCATATTATAGGATCAAAACTTTGAAAGTTATACTAAAAATCTAAAATACTATAAATACGCAAAAAATAGCAAAATTAAATTTCAATTTTGAAGATTCTAGTGCTTAAAACAAATTTATATCTTCCTTTGCTATTTTTTCTGTATTCTATAACCATTAGCAAATATTATAAAATTCGAACCCTTAATATTATTAATTATTAATGCATATTATTACAGTTATTCCCCCAAATATATAATACATATGTGTATATTATGTTTCAATCAATTCATTATTAATTTTACCCATTTCTAATAATAAATCAGTTCAAATGAGATTGGAGAATTCAGTAAACAGACTTTACTTATCATGGCAATTGTATGCACACAATAACCTCAGAAACGCAGGATAAGATTTTTCAATATTGTGGAAAAGTTTGCCAAACTTAAATCAAGGAAAAATGCCTTTGATTAATCTTACATAATGTTCAAATGTTGGAATATTATATCAGTGTAATAAACTATAAAAACATTATTATAATTAATTTTTAAAATGTTGTCTTATAAAAATAAAAGGCAATTGTAATATTTACCCTGAATGCTTATGTTCAGATATATATAACTCATAATTTTATGTAATTTATGAATAAAATCATTTTTTATAATTTTGTGAATAAAAAGTAATTTTTCTATTATTTAGCAAAGATAATGAAATATCAAATTTGAAATAACATCAAAACCAAATAAATATGACTGCAATAATAATAGTAATAGATAAGTAGGTACCTTAATTATAAAATATTAATCATATTTAAGAAATTACGCAAATTATACACTAAAAATATGAAGTCAATTTTACAACAAAAAAAATTGGTGGACTGGAGGTGGGCATCAAATGTTGTTGGCTTAGGGCGTTATTGGTAGTAAGGACGTCACTGAGCAGTGGTGCATTTTAATGGTACCTATTGCTTACGTTATAGGTAGGTACTCAAATATTTTTTATTGTTATAAACCTAGTGCCCACAAACGTTTAATCCAAATTATGTCTACGTTCGGTTACCATATTGTATGTTAGAAGTAGTTTCTATCATATTCTTAGGTAGATAGAAAACAGCCACGGT